AACAGAAAGGGTGAGCGAAGGAAGCTGCTCCCTTGGACTGTGGGGTCATGCTGGAGGGTAACAGCAAGAAAAACAGGGAAAGTCTCTCTCCATTGCCCATAAACACAACAAAGCTGCTGTAGGCAACTTAAAGGGAATATAAGAATTTCTCCAGACACAGAAATGTGGCCCAATATGCAGGTGTTAGTATTTGGAAAGAGAACTCAAGTCTTTTCTAAAACTAAGCTACCTAAATCCATCTTTTATAGCCTCTTTCTTCCCTCAACCAAGGCAAAAGACACACGGTCTGGAATAAACGTAGGCTTCAGTCCCTTTCCAGAAACACACACATCGGCAGGTACACTTTATCGTCATTTGCTTGCGCTTAAATAATCCTGCTGACTTCTGTTAGCAATATCCACCCTTGACTAAAGTCACTACTCGATCGTTTACTCTGAACTAGTCATAACCAAGCTTGGTTTTGCATTGACTATGACACTGGTCAGTGCCACCGAGATGCTCTCGGGTGCCGTGTCCAACACTGCAGCACTTTGGTTCTGCAGATTGAACAGGAATTTTACATCATGGAAACATCGATCAAGAAACTTTGCTTTCCATGCTGGAAGAGAGCAACAGATCAGTGAGACCAGTGCTGCAAACTCAGCCCGTCTGCAGCGTCGCATCCCAGCTTCAGTTCCTAAAGCACCCAGCAGCCGTGGCCAGGAGGGTAACGTGGCATTTACGCATTAACACCCGCGACTGCCTTCTCCCTACCATGGTTGTGTTGACTTGTTCTTCTCAGATAACCAATTCACACGCCCTCAAAAATCTCTCCAAGTTCCAAAAGTCAGAATATTCACAACAAACCCTGTCTGACACCGCTCAAGAATTAACTGCCATTACAAGTAATACTCTTATTATTTGTCCTGAATTCCCCCAAAAGAGAAACAGCTGGTAGAGACACGCACGCAAGGAGGGTCAGTCCTGACCACCACTCTTACCAAAGCAGACCTGAACTGCACCAGAAATTTTTAGTTTGCTGACAACTGAAGTGCTGATCTCACAAGCTTCTGGGCGAGGTGTCTTGCTGGAGCACGAGGAACCAGCTCTAAGTTCCTAAAACTTTGTCCCGGATGCAGAGCTGGAATTCCCAAGAGCAGAGAAGCCTCTGCTCAACGTTCACAGCCCACTCCAGCTATCTGCTAAAATACGCTTCTGCCTTCCTTTTTTTATAGGAAAACCCAGAAGATGTCCGTGGCTCACATTACGGTTTACATCTCCAACCCTCTTCAACATAAACCTGTGAAAACTGCAGGTCTCCAAAGCCTCTTGCAGCCGTCCACGCTGCCTGCTGAAGCGTACGAGCAGAGCCGGAGAGAGGGAGCAGGACTGTCACGTCCTCCCCGCTCGCCGGTTCTCCTCGGTGCTGCTGGAGATGCAGCTTGCACAGAGCCGTCACCAGCGAGACGGCCGGTCGCGTGTCCCAGGAGCGCAGCTAATCACCTCGCAACCAACCTCTGGATTTCTGAAAAGAACGGAATTATTATTCTTGGAAACAATGCATGTTTCTGCCTTCCTAGATTAACATCCGATTAAGAAGCCCGATGTATTTACAGAGCGCTTTCCAAAATCACTTTACCATACCGTGCGCTCACGAATCGTTCCCCTTACCTGGGGGGGTAAGGGCTTTGGTAATGCAGGGTGCAAATTAACACAAGAGCCAAGTGAAAACACGCAGGAAAGCAGGAATTCCTGAAACCAGAACTGGCTAAACTCAGGGCTACAAGAGCACTAAGAAACACCATACAAGCTTCTGCACCCTCCAGCTTTTGTCTCTTCCCAACTCTGTACTACCTGCTGGGTAGATAGCACGTTTTAAACATTGATTTTTCATAAGTGAGGAACAGCACCAAATGCCCCCGTGCCTGCAAACAGCGGCTTTCACCCCGTCCCCGCCGCCGTTACAGGACACGCTCTTTGTCAGACTGTTTTCTCAATCCTACTTCAAGTTACTGTCTACTGCAGGCTGAGCATTCCTCCCAAGTATAATTATTAAGGAGCTCTTCTTCTAGGACGCTGCCTCCGTTTTACGGCTGTGCTATCACGACACATCTAACAGTTTGCTCCTGCAATACTTTCCCTGTCGACTCAACGTAGAAGCTTCTGGTTTGCTCAGAAACGGACACCTGGGGAGCACCCTCGGCACGTCGAAAGACCCCCGCAGCACTACATGCGGGGAGTAACGCAGTGCGAAACCTTACGCAGAAAACAAGAGCGTTTCCCTATTAAGAGACTCCCAACTTCTTAATTTTTGCTACTAAAACTTAATTAGCCTCATAGCCCATCTGGCAATTTGCAAACCATTACCCAGCATTCTTTGGACCTTGAAATATTTAACATAATGAGGGCCTAGTAGGGACTAATCCTTTCACAGAAACCATTTAACGCCAAGAAAACAATGCCACTTAGTTTGAAATATTCTTCGTTAGCAACTGAAAGTGGTAGTTAAAGAAAGTGTTATGTAAAGAAAAAAAGGAATGGACAGCCTGCCACACCAGGAGCCAAGCCTCCAGGTCCTTTCAGCGCTCGCCGCACTAGCCAGCTTCAGTGTTTACAACTTTAATAATTCATCTGAGAACGTCAAAATCACCACTAAAACCAAATTAACTACTTGTTCCTCGTTTGTACTGTACCTGAAGGTTTTACTCCCACATCAGAAGCTGAAGGCGAGTTACACCACAGAGGCAAAGTGTCTTAATAATTAAACTTTCATACTGGGCTGACTGTATTAGCTTGAAGTTCCCAGGACTTGGATGAAAGGATTTAAAGGCAGTCTTAGCACAGGTGCCAGAGTCAACTTCCTAGTAAAAGTGATAAGCAGCAAAATGGAAACCAGCCAGGGTTTGCAGGAAATCTTTCTTCTATTATTTGACCTTTTAAAATTGAGAGGAATGAGTGAAGAGAGTGTCCCACCTCCCAAAACCGGCAGAAGCTGATTTCCTACACTGGGAGCGGTTACCCAGCATGGGATGGGGAAGAAAAACATCCAGCTGTGAACAATATTAAAAAACAACTCCTACCACATACACCATAAAATCACATTATGAGACCTCTACAAGGAGCCTTTGCTTTCATCTTATAAATGACAAAAATCCACATCAGATAGTTTGCAACGAAGTGTTGCTATTTGCTGCAAATAAGCAGAGTCAATAAAAATACCTGCTTCCGAGCCGCCAGCTCCTACCTCTCTGGGGACGAGTGGAAAGTTAATTTCTGTCGTTGTTAAACTCCTGTGCTGAGAAGTTTAGCAGCACACTTGTCAGGCAGGACCAGTCAGAGTAAAAGGTGGTTTTAGTTGCTGACCGCTGGAGTGAGAGCAGCCCACCAACACCACAAAGGGCAAAGATCCATCACCAGAGGATCCCAAGCAAGGATCTACGGGGTGTTATTTAATTTAAATCCACTGTACCATCTCCAGAGCATCCCACAAGTTGCATCAGAGCACCCCGGCACGCAGGGATGCTGAAACCTCACGCAGAGCTGAACGCACCTGCCTGAAGCACAGCGGTCCCAGTGGCCGAGGACCCACCTAAGGGCTGGGACCAACCGAGTGGGACACTTGGGGGGCCGGAGCCCCCCGGGAGGAGCTGGGGAGAGGCGGCAGGAGCTGCCCCTCGTCCTGCACGGCTGCGGGCAGTGCTGGAGCCCTGCGAGGGTGCCCAGGGCTTCTGCGGGGGCCGCTCGCCCCAAATCCTCCCGGGGAAGAAGGAAGGTGCCGTACAGCCGTCGGAACAGGATACGGGAGGGGCCGGAGGGTGCTGGCAAAGACCTTCGCCTGTCGCCCGCAGTTGCTCTACTGAAGGTGCATAAACCACGGTAAAATCCAGCTCTCGGAGAGCGCTGGCCCTGCCAGGCTAAGGGGAAACAGGGATAAGCTGCTTGCCATGGAGGCCAGGAGGTGTGGCTGGATACGGCCACAGTATTCAACGTTCAGGGGTGCCCGGGGGTCCTACGACATTCACAGGGACATTCATCCTCTTGGTCAGGTCATTTTTTAAAAGCGTAATTACACCTTGCCTTTAAGTACCCCTCCTGACGCCGCTCCGATGTGCACGTCCTTGTCCCTCCATGCCCTATCCAGTCTTCCCTTCATTCTCCAGCTGCCCCCACGTACCCTCACCGCTGTCAGATGGCGGCTGTGTTTTCCGAACCCCCTTCACCCAGCCCACGATACGGCTGCCAAGCACACACCCTCCCGGATATCACCTCTCCGCACCGTCCACAGTGCCGAAGAGATGCGCCCACTCCCTTTCCAAGGCAGGATATTACATTAGCTCCAAAGGCTTACATCCATTTTTAGAAATTCTTCATTCGCAAAACTTAAAAGAGTCCGCACCCAAAAAGCATTTCTTTCAGTCGTGCACGAAGAACCCTCCCACAGCACCAAGATTTTCTGTCTTTGCAGTTCACCATTCCATACGAATTCGCAGATTTTTACACCATGCACCTTTACGTTTCTAGACACTGGTTATTAAAAAATCCCTCAACATGAAGCATTACCATCTTGTCATCATTAGGTTTCAGAGCCAACAGTGCCAATGCAATTAAGTACAGCTCATTAACATCCTGTGTGCTTAGAGCAAGGATACTTCCAATAAGAGGTCTACCACCTCCTTCATAGTCCAAAACACAGACTGCTCAGTGATTTCTTCAAAAGACTAGTGAATTCCAGTTCCCATTTCTGGAGTAAATTGGAGAGTAAGGACTTAGAGGGCAGAGTAAATAAAATTTTCTATCAAAATTATAGTGAAAAAACTCTAACGCCCGCATTAAACGTGAAGATGAATGACCCAACACAACCCTCATTTCCTCCTCTTGTCTCACCTTCCACACACCCCCAAGACTGCTCTGCTGGGCTGCAGAACCCCGATCTGCTCTGCAGCTGACATGGGATATCGAGAACAACTCAAGGTTTGGCCAAGACATTTGTTAGAGCCCGTGGGTCCCAGCCAGCAACTTACCAAGAAGCGGACATCATCAAAGCCGTTCAAAAGCAGCTTACTCTCATATTGCTGCAGGCCAATGGACTCCAGCCACTCCCCGACACTCTGCTCCAGCATCCGCGAACCTGACGAGAGAGGAATCGGCAGACGCTTGAAAAGGGAAAAACCGTTAAGGCGGTAGCAGCGGCACTCTGAGGAAGACAGATGGCATTGCCACATCATAGTCATTACCGTAAAGAAACTCAAAAAATTTTGCTCAGAGTACAACAAATCAGCTGGGAGAGAATTCCTCTTGTGTGCACAGACCATGGACAACAAGCTTCCAGTGCCTCCGCGGGCTCCGGGTTTAATTTGTATCCCAGTTAACACTCAGAAAAAGAAACATCTCGCCCGGACAAACTGTTTAGAAGCATTCCTGGGACCACGACATCACATGCACTGCTTTCAGGGCTCAGGCGAGTTTCTTGCCAGGCAAACATATGAAGCCCAACCCCACGGGGACGCGGATCCACTCCTGGGCTCGTCTGAAGGGGGCGGGAGGAGGGCAGCCAACTCGCACCCAAGGCATTCCCAGCCAGTCGTAGGTGCGAGGGAATGCAGTGGAGCGGCTCACAAACGCACAGAGCTGTGCGCGTCCTCTCGTCCATGCAACTTCGGGTGCGCTGCCCTGCTCTGCGGGCCAGTGGAGACGGCCAGGAGCGCTGGAGGCACAAAGCAGCTAGAGAGAAAATACATCTTCATGCAGCGGAGACACAAAACAGACACGATGGACTTTCAGAAAAGCAGCAGAAGCCAGACTAGAGCAGCTGTCCACAGGAAGACATGCAAGACAAAGAAAGCACACAAACTGCAGCAGAAGAAAAGAAGGGCTTATACTTTTTTTCCCCAAGCAGTCCTGAAAGAGGCAAACCATGGTAAGGGCTTTTTCTCGCTGTTATTGCGTTAGGAGGAGCAGAGGCGTGAGTGACCCCGAGCACGGGTCCGAGCGCCCTGGCACTGGCATTCTACCGCCTATGCGGACGCACGGCATCTCAGCACGCTGCTCGCGCCGGGCTGGCTGCACCGGAGAGTCCAGCTACACCGCTGCGCTGGGCGACAGCGAGGGAGACTGAGGAATCGGTACAGTTTTCAGCCAAGACTTTCAGTCCTGCCAGGTGTTTGGTGCACGCCTGTGTTTGCCCTTCCTTCATCTTCTTCAGCTAAGCACAGCTGCTGCATCCGAGCCCCCCACTCAAACAGGGAGCAGCTCTGGAGGAGGCGGCATTTTAATTCCTTGCCCCCAAACCACGTCAAAACAAGAAGAAACCAAACGCAAGCACACTCCTTCCTCTTCCTGCAGCAGCTCAAGACCAAGACATGCCCTGGCACCTCCTCTCAGCCTCTGATAAAAGAGATTCTTCCAACACCCTACAGAAACCGTGCAGACAAGCTTTCCCTTCCCTCACCCCTGGGAAGAGAGTCCAGTGCCTTGTTACTCTCCTCTAGAAAAGCTTGAGACCTCAGCTGTGACAAAAAAAGTTCAGAGATCTCCTTTTCATCAGGAAATTTGCTATGCAAGACAGGCAGAATTTTTCAGGCTTCTTAGCACATCTGTTTCAAGGGTATATGCAAATAAAAAGATGATCAGGAAAAGCAAGTTTCCTTTCTTTGACCCTTCAGATCAGCTGAAACTGTTTGGTACCTTCCGAGCCATCCTTCCCACCCCTGCCCGCTGCAGCGGCTGCACAACGCAGAGCTCACGGTGTTATCTGGAAATTCTTGGGGTAAGAGATCCTGCTGCTCTGGTCCACAGGAGAGCTGCTCAGCCAGGCGAGCCGCGCTCGGCGAACTGGAGAGCGCCGGCCAGTCTTTCTAGTGCACGCTGCAGCACGAGAAACGCAGAGATCACAAAAGGTTTCCGTCTCCCTCCCCTCACGCAGCCTGTGCAGAAGGGCAGCTTCTAAACCTGGAATTTATGCAACAAGCTCCCGCTCGCCCGGGGTCTCCATCCTTCCCTTCCGTCGATCCTTGCTGGTCCGCCCGCAGCCGCGTCCCCTCGCCAAGCAATCGTGCGTCCTTGCGGAGCGCTGCAGCGGCGTGCTTTGTCTGAAGGCAGCGAGCTCCAGGCTTGCCGTTCCACTCTCAGTCCTGTCTCCTGCTCTCGCATCGCCTGTCCCTCCCTTCTCTTCATCCTCTTACCCCTCCCAGCTTTTCCATCCACTGTACAAGCAGCGAGCAGCCTTCGCAGCAGAAGCTGCAGGAGAGGGGAGGGAGACAGCAGCTCTATAACTCTCCAGTGGAAATTACTGACTTCTCAATATTTACTCGATGATAGACTACACGGCTTGGGTTTTCAAAAAATGATGTTACAGGTCTGCTTTGACAGTTCCAAGTGATTTGCGGCTGGCTCAGAATTAATTTATCGAGAGAGAGGTGAGAAAACTGCTTGCTGCCTACTACAGCATTTCTGGAAACAGTCAAGAGTATTGGCAGGGGGAATGAAACCACAGCATTTCCTTCCTCTGAGCTCCTGAATTTCATTTTAAAAAATTATTTACTCTACTTGGTCTTTTGTACACTCGTAAATGTATTTCTGCTTTTAAAGGGGAAACCTACAGTGACAACCAAGTGTAGGTTTTCTGTTCTTAAAGCCACTCCAAATCAAGACAAAATGAATGGGGGTTAGTTGGAGGGAGGGGAATGGAGGGGTTTACTTTGAAAAGAAGAGAACAGAGGCCCTAAAACGTCCTAGACTGAAAATAAGGAAGTCAAAAATACACTGAGTATCTGCATGTTACGAGGAAGACACGGGAGCAAATGACTCCCAGTCACTGTGCCTCCCAGCAAGAGCCCGATCACGACTTCTGATTAAAACAAACTCCTAATTCTCAGCTCCATCCTTCTCCTTATGCTCCACATTTTGGGAATCCTACCTTTAAAAGGTTTGCAGATGGCAGAGGGGGAAACAGTCAATAGAAAGTAGTTAGAAATAATGAGTATTTAAAAGTTGCAAAAAAAGCAAGCCAAGCAATTCAGTTCCTCTTGCAAGACATTTTTCGAGTAACACGGCTCGCTTCAAAGAAAACAGGAAAAGGAGAGGGCTACCAGGGCTCAGAAAGGTCTTTTTATAGGTTATTGTTTCAATAATAACCTTTAGTCTATTCAGAGGAAGAAATAAGTTTTCTATTTGCTCATGGAAACTGGTAACAGTTTAACGTGAGCTGGTGTGGCCTGAAGACACACGACCAAGCTTCACTGTGAAGAAAAAACTGCAAATCCAAGCATGCGTTGATGAAACCACTCTCCAGGCACAAAGTGAGCATGCAAGACAACCAAGTCAGGCAGTTATTGCCACAGCTGGGGATGATCATCAGCTGAAAGTCCTTAAATCCATTGAGTGGGGCTATAAACTCAGGCAATGCATTAGGCAAGATGGATAGGCAAGGGGAATGTAGTCATTAATGCTATCAGATGGAAGAAACACAGCCAGCATCCGACTTTACTGGAACTAAGATCAATTAGCCAAATGCAGGTTGCTAACAAATTTCTCTCTCTTTTGTCAAGTAAAACACCAAGCAAGCGTCTCAAGTCAACTGCAGAGTTAGCTCACTAAGCCCCAAATGCATTCCCTGTCCAGTGCAGCGTGCCTCCTGCCTGCATCAAGCTGATTTATTGAGCAGAGACCACTCATCTCCTCTATTTTGGGGGAGAGAAATGCTGCCTGACAAATTACTGTAACCCAGCGAGCAACACACAGGTTTCTTGTTCAAAGCCAGCGGTGAGATGAGACGCTGCAGCGCGGCGGGGTTGAGTTTCTGCTGCGAGACCTGCGCTCCCCTACCCCTCTGACCCACATCTGGAAGGAAGAGATGATCACAAGTGGGTTGCTGGAGCTAAATAAATGCGTGACTGCACAACACGCACGCAGAGAAACACAGACTGAATACAAACATCTGTTCCCAGGCCAAAAAACCCCTTTAAAGCAAAGGTGAGGTAGAATCTGGTATCCTTTAAGAGATGGTGTTCCCCGATTCCCCAGCCTCTGAAAAGCACTTACCAACACGGATCAGTGAGACTTCTCCTTTCCTCCCGCCTATACCACCCCACCCTCAGGAAATACATTTGGAAGATTTTCTGACAAGCTCTACCAGGAAATGATTGGCCAAGAAAGAGATTCTAGCTCCAAATTCTATAAAGGTGCCAGAATGCATCTAATTCTCATCCGAGGGCCTCGGAAGTTTAATGTGCTCATCCATTAACACCATGGCAAGACACCGAAGTTTTGTTACGCTGTTTTACGGAGGAAAGCTTTATGGTACAGAAACCAGCTCTTTGCCCAAATTTGTAGGGTAAGGCTGGGGCACGGCAGGGACCTGAAACCGAGCGTCTCGGGGCCTGGGCTTGTTCCAGCGTGACTCCAAGGGTCCCTGCTTTCCCTAGACCCGAGTCCGTTATATGCAACAACTGCCTGTACAAACAAACCCCAAGCTTAATTGCCTCCGCGGCAGCTGCCGAGCAAGGCGTTTTACCTTTGCAGGCCGATTAGCGATTCCAGGCACCAACCTAGTCAGGAGTCCCCGTGCCCTCAAAGTCCACCCGTTTCTGAGGATGCGACAACATCTGGAAAGTTCCCTTGCAGCTTCCTGCACATTGGCGATACGATCTGAAGCGTTGAAACAGCCCTAGCAGAGCCCTGAGGAGCAAAAGCTGAACGCCGCTGGAAAACAAAAAAAAGGGTGCACGCACCCCAGGACACCCCTCATCCTCGCAGCAAGGGGCTGGCAGAGCACTGCCCGCTCTCTGGCTCGCCGCGCTCATAGGAAAGGAAGGAGAAAGAGGGAATATGTCCAGCAGCTGATGTGCGTACGAGGGATCCCAAACCGAGCGTAAGAGAGCATGGCCTGCAGGAAAACAGAAGGACAAGGCAGCTCCTGGGTCTGCCTGCTTCCAGACACGGGTGTCCATTTTGCTGAACACTCCTTGCACAACGGCAGCTTTTGCCAAGGTGCTGGCTCCTCCTCTCCCCTCCATGTTAGACCTCTTCACTAACGATATCGATCCATCACACGCTCTGCTACAGCTACGGACCGGCTTGGGGAAGGGAGGGTTTGTCACAGAGCAGGATACCGAACAGTTGCCATCGGACTAGACCAAAACCCCCACGCCGTTCGCATCCCTCTGCGAAGCCATTTGACCCCGGAAAACATAAGTCCTCATCAGTGCGTAGCGTCTAGGGCAGGCACAGGTTAAACTCCCGCTGGGAACGCACGGTGGATTCTCCTCAGCAAAGCAAAAACCCAAGTGACAAATGGATACGAGATAAGCTTCATTACGGCAAGCGTGAGCGGCGTGTGCGGATATATATTAGCATCTCATCAAGAGGAGACGTTGCCCACCCGGAACAGTTCGGATGCAGCAGTTTGGAGGTGAAGGATTTAAAAGGACAGAATCCCTCGTGGTGGCAGCGCTCCAGCATCCTCCATCACGCTGCAGTAAAGCAAACAAGCTCTCGAGTTCTGCTTTTGTCTTTGCTCCTCATTTAAAGGCAGAGAAGGGGATTCATGCTTCAAGTACAGGGGGGAAGCATCTCTCCTGCAAGCAGCCGTGTTTAGTGGATATCGATGCCTATAGGTGTACTCAGAACAAGCCCAGCATCACCCAAGCTGAGGCACGTGGCAAATTAACCACAGCCAAAGGGCACGGCCACCATGACACCCGTGCTGACCTGCAACTGGCATCACCCCAGTCCTGCTCCCAGTACAGCCACTACCCTAAGAGACGTGGCTGGGGACAACGATCCTCCTTCCCAGAGAAATCCAAGAGGCATCGCGGGAAGGCCGTGTCCCCAAACAGGCAGGACTGGTCTCACCATCAAAAAGCATTTCCTACGACAACATTTTCAAGGAGATTTTTCTAAAACCCTTGAGCAGTACATGATATTTAGGCACCTTCCGTCCCCAGACAGCAGAGTTCATCGGCATCCGTTTAATCAAGCTGTACACGCTGTGTCTCACTACAAACAGCTCCGTTTCAAAAGGCACCATTAAAGCCAAGCAATTATCTCCTCTGAAGGCCATGGACTCGGCTCCATGCGGGAGACGGCGCTCCCGAGGACCCACGGCTCTGCCTGCAGCAGCGCAGAGGACAGGTTCCTTAAACTGCTGGTTTCCAGAGTGAAGCTGCATCCCGGGAAAAGAAAAATTAAAATAAACCTCCCGAGCAGCTCGGAAAAGTGGAAGCGTTGAGACGGTCGGCTGGGAAAGGGGTAGGTTATTTCCCTGCTCTGCGAAGAGTATGCAGACATGCCTGGGGACATTTGCATCGATACCAAGGCATCCTTTCTCTATTAGTGCCATGTCCCCTTCACATCTACTTTCCTCAAAAGAAGGCACAAAAAGTATAGGAAAAAAGGCCGGTAAAATGGCAAAACGATCCTGTGTGATGTATAGAGCTCAGCTATGCAATGAGGTCACTTGCAGGAGCAACGGAGGAAGATTTTTAATTGAGATCTGGTTCTCTCTGCTGCTCCGGACCGGATCCTGACCACAAACTCGGCACAGGGTTCGCTCTTCCCCACGCCCCAGCCACCTCTACTTACAGTATTTACAGAAACGAGAGCGTTTTAACCCAAGATCATCTCCCGTCACTCTGATGCTGCATTGCAGAGATAAGAGTTAATAATAGTTGCAAACATGGCTGGAGGAGGATGTTGCTCTGTTTGAGGAAAATCAATGCACTAAATGACACTACGATTGCTTCTTCACCTTGTTTTATGGAAATTAGAAAAAGCAAAGACAAAATGCACAACTAAATCATCTCACACACTATGTATAAAGTTTTATTATAAAATTAGTAAAGCTACATACTTCAAGGGCAGAGAAGTATGTAGGTGAAATACATACAAAAAGAAGTTGCGATGAGTTTTATCTGATCTGAAGCAACGATAGGGCATCTAGAGTTTTACAGGCAGAAAGCTGGAGAAGAAATGTTAAAATACTCTGGCAACAACATTTTATGGACTGCAGAAAAACAGTAGTTTTGCTGGAAAATCGCCACAACACTGCAGCTACTCTGGATGGTTTGTTTTAGAGGCTGGGGGGCAGAAGCCGCTCTTTATGCCTTATTCTATTGCAACCAAACCAAAACCTGGCCCTTGGTAAGCTCCAGTTAAGACAAACTGCCTGAGCAGGACCCTATGCCCCACACAGGCTTTGCTCAAGCATTCCTGGTCCCCAGAAAATGTTCCTTAATCTGTGAAATACAAACAGCCTCCAAGGGACACCTTCTCACACAACCCAACGTACACCGAACCCCCCGGTGCCTCACCGGCAGCCAGACAGCCCCTCCGAGCCCGCGCGTCCCCGTCAGCTGGCATCTTACCACCCCCAAAAAAAAGCATCCCAACCATGCCTGCAGAGCAGCTTTATAGCCAAACATGCCCAGCAGTGAACATGCAGCTGGGACGAGTGAATTCCCATGGAGATAACATGAATATTTGATACCTTGGCTATAGTCACTCTGATGTACAACTCTAAATACAAAATTCCCATCCCGTCCTCCCAGGGCTAGAAGGATTTTGAGAGCCTTAAAGAACAAAATACTAGAATGTGGAGGGCTACGGAAAGGTTCTGCTGATTTCCAAAGGGACAGACCTACACTTACATAATGAAAAAAAGCCAGGAAAAAAGAGCATCTTGCTACTGCATTATGTATCTGAAACAAAAGCAAGATTGTTGTGGGGATTGTGAGACCAGCCAGAAGACAGATATGCAGTGGCTCTGTTTCAGACTGACTGCTTAAAGAAAATTTTGTTGCTATCCACTAGAGAAGAACAGAAACTTGAGACAAACAAATTTTGAAAGGCAGGAGAGAACTGTCAGCAATCAGTTCGACCTTCTCAGAGGCTATGTCGAGACAACAGTAATTACAGGAGCCAGGAGCAGCAGAACTTTCTATCCCTGGGATGCTGGCTGGAATCCTTACACCATCTTTTAGCTGCAAATTAGATTTTTTTTTTGTACGTGCAGAAAACCTGATCTTCCTCCTACACATCGAGCAAAGTCTAGTTGTGAAGTTTGAAGCACGAGAACCCAGTGGTTACTGGGCTGTGCGAGCAGGGGCAACGAGCCAGCCGCTCCGGAGCGGGCTTTGCTGCTGTGAGCTTGTGGGAGAGCGCAAGAAGCGTCCCAGACCGCTCACACGAGTCATCTCCACCTAAAGGGAAGGACTATAAGGAGTCACTTCAGGTATCAGAAGCCACCAACAAAAACTCCACAATCCTCGGCAATAAGCCTTTGTTTAAAACTATTCAAAGATGCAAAACATCACCTTAAAATCTACTATATCCTAAACAGTAACACTAAACCCCCAAATTTATAAACAGGTGCTTTCAACAAGAAACCAGACCCGTTACACACACCACAGACACAGACACACACACACACTGCTGTCACTGGGTGAGTATTAATCAACACTGGGGTAATTGGGGTCCACCCCTCCTTCCCATCAGACTGGGGGTACCAGCTGCAATGCTCTTCACCCAGCGCATTTCCCCAGGAGCCTCCTGGGTGGGGAGGACAGCTGCGTTATATAAAATCAAATTAATCTACCCAGGGGAGTATTGAATTAAAATTGCTGGTAGCAGTATCGAGCATTACGCTGGGAAGCCGAGGTCTGTTCCTTCTGTGCCAGACCCTTCCTTTCCCTTCTGGGAGTCAAAGCAGGTTGAAGAGCTCTGCACGCAGGAGACAGCACCTTGGTTTTGTCCGGAGCGCAACCAAGACAGACACACAGTAGCTGGGTACGCTACCTGAGATCCTCTGCTGCTCCTGAGAAAAGTCAATGCCTTCGCCGATGGAACTCATGATTTTCTCAATCTGAAAATAAATAAAAAAAGCACATGCTGCATTATTCATAAAGCCTCAGGAAAAGTTAGAGGCAGCCCCAGGATTTCACCTGCCACGTGACTGCCGAAGAAATCCAGGAAAGGATGTTAAGATACCTCTGACACAGAAAAGGTATCCTTAACACCTTGCCTGGAAAAGTCTTCGTAAGGATGGATGGCTCAGAAGGGATGCGCAGAGGTTGGGACTCCACAGAGCCTTCCCTTGCCAGTGCCTGAAAATAAACAGCTCCAACAAAACCATCCCCCTGGATCACAAAATTAGGGAGAAGGAAAGGAACCCCAAACTCCTCAGCTCACCCTGTACAAACATGCAGCCCCACCTCCACCAGCACCATTTCTGGTTTCACTGGAACCAGAAATGCAGTTCACTAACTCTTTCACAGCATGCAGAAAGTAAACTTGGCTTCACCTCAGGCTGGGTTTTGTTGGGTATTTTTGGTTTGGTTTTGTTTTTTTATTTAAACGATCTCATTTCCCAATCCTGCGCATGGACGCTGTGCTCCTCACCACTTCCCCTGAGAGCAGAGATGCTTAGAAAGAGTTTGAAAATAGATCAGATTTGCAAAAGCAGCAACATCATGGGGGCAAATGCCTTAACTACCCAGGAGAGGGAGCTAAAGACAAGTCCATCCCCCGATTTAAGCGATTCCCAGTCAATAGCTCAAGGCAAACCTCATGCAATTACAAAAAAAGGTAAAAACTATTGCCTGAGATGGTGTCTTTTCAAGTCCACTTAAGAGCTGCATATAAATGACTGCATTTGCCACCAAAAAAAAATAAAACAAGTTTTAATTTTCATACAATCTACAGAATACTTGAAGTGACAATAGAAACTTTTCAAAAACAATCCCTGAGCAGAATTTGTAAATTGAAGCTTTCTAATGCAACGCTGCAGAGGGAAAACCGACAGTGACAATTAGGAGGTTAATTCTGTGAAAAGGAAAGATCTGATAAACTGCATCTCAGTCGGTCAATTCAGAATTTTCAATAATCTGAAACCCTGACTATTTTCCAAAGAGCAATGAGACACTCAAGAGGCTCAGGTCTGGTTGCTTACCCCAGTCTTCAACCTACAACCAAGCAGAAAATAAAAACAACAACAAAAAAATTTCCCAGTGAGAGATTCCTGAACAGAAATCTCCCAAGAAAATATTCCTCCAAGGCACTTCAGAGCGGTTACCGCTGAATGCAAAGCAGATACATCGACTGGCAACAGAGAGTGGTGGGAAATGAACTTCAACTCTGACACAACTACTTTTTTTTTCCCCCTCTGGTCTTTTAAGGACAGATTTGGGGAAGGCAGCCAAATTTTCTTGGACCTCATCCCCCAGCCGCCCTTGCACTGCCTGCATCCCAGCGCGATGCTTTGCTTGGTGCAGCCGCACGAGCTCCCAAAACTGCCCGGCGGGCAAGCGGGGCTCCTGGAAACGCTGCGGGGAGCCGACAGCTCGACTTCCAGTCGAAAATCAATGGCAACCTAGAGCTGAACTCCACTAGGGAGTTGTTTTTTTTTTTTTTGTGAAGCAAAACAAACAAAAAAAAGAGCCTTAAAAACTCCTGCCAAGTCAGATCTCCAATAAAGTCCTTCCTGGTTGTGAGGAGCAGACAGGCAGTGCAGGTGTAGCATTAAATCTCACCAGGGAGAAGGCGTTCATGTGAGCTACAGAAAAGTCATTAAAAGATGTGGATTCTCTGCCCCTAGAAAACCATGAGAACGAGCACATCTACTGGGCTTAAAGTCTAGTTAATGCTAGCTTACAGTGAGCTTGAAGACCAGCCTGAAAAAAAAAAAATAATCAGAATTGAAAGTTTAAACATGTATGGAAGAAAAGTGAGGTCTGCTCTAAAAGGAGGTTCCTCTTAAAGGAAGGGTTTTGACATCGCTGGATGGACGGGTCGTGCTGCCAGCACGCTGCCCTGCAGTACGTAAGTTCTTAAGTTCATCGCTCTCCTGCCACTGGACACAACCAGAACTTGAACGTGACCTTTGCTAAACCAGCTGGGAGACACCAGACCCCGGCGCCGGGCTCTCCATGGGGCTGCCGGTGCCGTGCAGGTCTCGGACAGAGGCCAGACGCCATCGAACGCTGACACAAGGGTTAGCAGAGTCGCTAACGGGGTGGCAGGAGGAGCGATCGGATCCCTTGGTTCATAGGAGGGTAAAAATGACAAAAGGAGAACTGATGTGATAGCCTGGGACGTGAAAGCTTTTACCTACAGAAGTCATTCAAAACGTCAATCAAAAACTGCAAGCTATCTGTGCAAGAAACGGGATTTTGTGTTTTAAGCTCAAGTTGAAAAAGATGCGCTATAAAAGGATGAGGCCATGTAAAAGGCAAAAATATCACGATTTTGAGTGGACGGAGGCAGCTCTTAAATGACAAAAATCAGACACAGAGTGGTTCATTTTGCAACTATTTCTTCCGATAAAAATTATATGGCTCGTCATTGTGTCATCTGACCTTGCTATTTAGACTCCCTGTGGCTGAATAAGGAAGCCCCAGAAATACAGCTTTGAGAACAGCAAGACAACGTTGGGTTTTTCTGTCAGCTAACCTAAGGCTCTTGTGTAAATCAGCAACTCTGCAGTATCAGCAACAGAAGTGTGGGATCAGCTAAACTGGAACCAGTTAAGAGGAAAAAAACCTGAATTTAAAGTCTGCCTTGGGATGCTGAGTTCTTCTTCTACCCCGATTAATGCCTTTTAAGGGTTTCCCTTAAAAAGGGAGGCGTTTGTGGCAGTCGCCTTCACTCCATCAGCCCCGCTCCTCTCCACTGGCTCGGTTTTAAAGAACTTTTCCATTTCTCATTAGTTGTGATAGAGCCTGAAGGACGCGTGAGCGATGCAGCAGCTTCTGCTCAAGCCTGCAGACAATGCAAAACAACTGAGAAGTATTAATTGCCTCATATTTCTCAACAGAGGTTACTGACTGGTAACGTAGGTCTCACAATGCACATTTTTGCCAGTCACCATTTCGGCAAGAACCGCCTGCTTTATCCGCTTTTACCCCTCCGAAGCGGCAAATGCTCCCCAGCAAAGCCTCGAAATTCCGCGGCACCCTTACGTATCATGGGTACATAAAGGCCATGCAAGACTGGAGGGGAACATGGGGATGGTGCAAAACAAGCCCCATGTCCAAAGAAGACCAAGGGCTTTGGTACTGACTGTTTTATTCACTTCCATAGGCAGGCGCTGAACCCGAGCTGCGGCAGGATTTCTGGAATGCTGCACAACCCTGAGGGCTTGCTGCAGAATTTGGGTCTGGAGGTCAATTCAGTTCAAGCTCCAGAAGTTTAAGGGCATTACGCTTCGAAGATTTATGTCAATTAGCTTCATTACAAGGTATATTTCTAAACTGGAGCCGCTCTTGTACCTAACTGTCTGGGCTCTGTATCTAAAAGACGTTTACTTCAGCACATCTGGAAGCCTGGGAGGTTCTTTAGTCTCATGGGATCATTTGGAGCAAGAATCACTTGGTTCCAGCCAAGCTTTTCCTATAACCAGTCACCAAGAGGGGAGGAAAAAACAAAGAAACCACAAAATAGGTGGGGAGGGAGAAGAGAGGAGGCGAGGAGAAAAGCGTGTTTGTTCAAGCAGCCCCAGCTCCCTCCGACTGTCTCCCAGCAACAGAAGCAAAGCGCGTTGCAGATCTCTTACGCTGTGCTGGGACCCAGCTCTGCAGACGTGCGGGGACCGCTGCCGGCGCTGCTGGGAAAGGCAAAGAGCACAAGAGCATGTTTCCGTGGCAGATCCAAACCCCGCATTTGCAGCCCCTCTTTGGTCAGAGCTACAACTCTGAACGCTATTTGGCAAGAGGCAGGTAAGCTCCCTCCCATCAGATACTCATTATAAAAAAAAAAAATCCCATTTATTTCCCAGCGTTTCTGCATCAGTAGAGCCAGCACTTTGCCCTCCCCCACCACACTCCATGCTTGGATGCCCTCTCCCACCCTTACCCGCTTGCAGTTTTGCTCTTTCACAATGCAGGATGAAGGTTAAGAGAAAGCTTTAACTAGATTTTTAAGGTCAGCTCCTCTGCTGGGTTTCTCGCTGGGAAGAAGCGATGCCGACTGCAGTGCTATGGCCCTGGAGAGGATGGTGCAGGATAAAAGGACTCGCCCCCTCTTTTCACTTCAAGTGTAGACAAGAGTTTTCTAAAAACAATTTCTCCCTCACGCATGGGGTAAGAGGTGCCCGAGGACACTGTGAATCCAGACCCCAACCCACTCTGCCCCCAGACTGGGCGAGTTCCCTTGCCCAGGGCAGGTCGCCATAGTCCGGCACCGCGAACAAGCTGCTTCCTTCCCTGCATCCCTTTTCCATAGCTGGATTCAAACTGCAAGTGAACTCCGGGTGCCAGGCCGAGCTCACTCGTTTCCATCACGCTGCCCTCTCCCAATGCAAGAGGGACTCGATGCTTTTAAGGATGGGACCGCAGCACTGACAGCCCTGCAGTCTAAACACGGCGCTGAGGACATGCAGCTGCTTCTTCAGCACTAAAACACCCACGAACTTTTCCTCAAAAGCAGGGCAGTGCCTTCTGCTATATAAAGCTGAACGGTAATGAAATAACCACGTGGTAACGGGTTACCTTTCATAACCCATCCTTTGCTAAACATCGGTTTGATCCGGAGGCGGTCACGGTCACGCACGAAGTTGTATTACAATTCATGCAAAGGGAAATCCTGCTTCATGCCCTCAGCTCTCCACAACAAGAAAACACTCTCCCACCTCACACGCCAACTCAAACACCAGTTTATTGCCGATGGTCTTTATTTAACAGTTAAGAGGTTGCAAAGATAAGAATGCTGGGGAAAGACAGAAACCTAAAGAGGGAACGAATGCGTTAAAGCATCCCTAGCCTCCGCAGCCGGTCCTCAGCTGCACTCTACGGCACTAAGATGGGGCTGGAAGAGAGGATACCTTGAAAATAGCCTACACTACAGTTTTTTAGGTTGTTCTTTCCCAAT